CTCGGTGGAGAATCTTGGCAGCTCGGTGCTGTGGATCGTCTTCTTCCTGCCAGCAATACACCCCAGTCGCTCATCAAGCTCTCAAGAAGGCGTCGGCTTATTGAGTCCATAAACACGAAAGCAGGTGTCTGAACACCGAGTATCGGAATGGAATTTGGATCGATCGAGTGGCAGATGAGCTTGGGCGGGACAGGCACGGACACGGACACGGCCCCGTGGCTCCGTGCTCGAAAGCGTTTGCACTTTATGGAGTTTTGTTCGGTGGCACGAAACCTCGGATCAGAAATGACCGAACTGCTTGCGTAACGGTGTGTACACACAATCGCCCTTACCCTGCCTGACATTTGCGCCGCGATGAGACGCCTCGGTGCGGCTTTGCTTGACCGGGAAACCTCCGAGTTGAGGGCACTTTGGCGTCGCGGCGGGAAATGTCATGTAGGTGTATATAGATGCGTAGATACGCCTAGCCAAGCAAGAGGCAAGCGATAGAAGTGGATGACGTGAGCCAGATCGAGAGGGCTGAGGGGCCCACTTGGGGTAAAGAGACTGCCCGCAATGACTACTCACGCCTGTGCGATCAACGTGCGGACAGGGCCCGGCAAGGGCACGCGGGGCCGTTAGGCCGTTGCACGTAGGCCTGTCCTCCAGGTCAACGATCAAGAACGTTCGGAGATAGGGCTCACTGTAGCACAGCACGCCTCTCGAATCGACGTCTGTATTGATTTTTGGCCTTTAAGCGCTGGAAAAGCGATCTTGAGTCGAGAGAGCCCGTGCCGCAAGTCTTGCCTGCATCGACGCGGTACGTACGCAATTAACGAAGAGGGATGCACGACGGCTGCCTGCATCCCAGCTGGGTCGCTTGCATGCAGCTCGTAGCTGCGATAGCCGAGAGACAGCAAAGGATTTGGGCGGTCAAGAGCCTAGGTGAGGGGAAAGTGGGGAACCCGCGTGGAGAAAAGGTAGGTAGGTCCTACTGTACTTACTAGCTCAGTATACAGCAAGACGCACTTTTTGTTTACTCAAAGCATCGCACAGCAATCAAAATAAAGACGCGGACACGGGCCATCGAGGCAAGGTCGACTGGCTGACTGCCTTTGGGCGAGCCGTTCAACTGTGTGCATTTGTGAGTGGCCTCTGCTGGCAAGGACGCGGGCCGTCATCCTTGAAGACAGCCCCGATGCCTTGGACCGGTTTCTTTGCAGATATTGCTCAGAGGAAGTGGCCAAGCATTCAAAATCGCCCAGCAGAGTCTTCTCCGCGAGCTCTGTGAGCCGCTTTGCTTCTGACTGCATGCCAGCCAATTTACATGGCAAGCCATTGAACAGACGTCAGACAGGCAAGGAGATGAGAGCAGTCAAGAAGTGAACGTATGCGGTCGCTGAACGTCGCGCGCAAACCGGGCGATCTGGTCGAGCAAGTCGACTCGATCTACGAAAGTTGTCGGAGGAAGAGGTTCAAATATTAAGGGGAGGTATAGCGTATAGCGTGCTGTGACAAAGATGGTCAATGAGCACCGTACGCTCACAGAGGCACTACTTGAGACCCACTCAGCACCTGGCTTGATGAATCTTTGGGTGGCAGCTAGCCTGATGAGTCCCTGAGCTGTGCGCGAAGTTCGCACTCGAACCTCGATCAAGCTGCTGATCTGTTCAAGCGATTCGTGATTGCGCACTTTGAACTCGACTCCATCCACGACTATTTCACTCGTGACTAGGCTTGAACGGATCAAATGCTAAGTGGCGACCCATCTTGAATCACCAGCAACGGTGAATGGTGAATCACACAGTCTTGAATGCACATAACAATATTATCTTCCCCAGCTGCGCTGCAGTGCGCGGGCAAACCTGATCGATCATCGATAATCGCGTGGACATAGCGTGAATTTCACAGTCGTCGTGGTACTTGCAGAGCGAAGAAAAGTGCTCCTTTGCGCTCATTGGCTTTCAGACTACCCTTTCTAATGACGCTTGATCCACAGCAGACACCGGGGCCTCCGAAGTCGGAATCCGATAATAACGAAGGCATACGCACGGTTTGCGATTCGAAGCGAAAGTGCACCATCACAACAGATGCTGGTTGGTGACTGTGAGCGTGTTGTATTTAATTGTTGTCGCCGCCGTGCGTTTGCATGATGCAGCATGCAGGGAGTCAAGTACAGACATGCTGCCATGGACGCCGCCGCGTGTGAGCGGTCTTGAGTTCAGATTTCGAGGGTAGGCTCTGCGCCGTAGGCTGCAGCGCAGCTGCTGTTGCTGTTGCTGTTGCTGCCGCTGCGCCTGCGGTGCTTTAAGCTATATAGGGGCAGGCGGAGAAAACACGGCCGACGCGATGATCGAGTCAAGATTTATAGTCACAATTTTTGAGTCACCGAGGCGAGTGTGCAGCAGCTTTCGCGCGCGTGCGCCGCAAACGCACGCACGCACGCACGCACGCACGAGACTTCTGCGGCAGAGTGGCCAAGCGCCCAATTGCTGATGAGAGAAAGGCAACGGCTGCATGCATGCATGCATGCATGCCAGCCATGCTGCTTTGATCCTGCTCCGGGGCGTGAGCGACGCGTGCTCTGATATGGTGGTCATCAGCACCGCGGTAGAACACTCTTTGAAGACAGGAAGCAACCCAGCAGCAGCAGCAGCAGCAGCAGCAGCAGCAGGCAGCAGGCAGCAGGCAGCAGGCAGCAATCATCATATGAGCGCGAGCCCCAGTTCACAAGCTTGATCTGAGTCGTAGCCAGGTCACCAGTGCCTGGATCCCCTGACGAGTTTAGAGCCATCTCCTTCTACCATCTGGTTTGCTCCAGCACCTTCTTCAGCAATTGCTACCCCGTACCTGCTTGTGCCATCGTCGCTCGCACAGCTAGGTTCTCTCAGCATTCTGGACAGTGCACCCACCACCTTGGCTCGGCCCCGGGCACCAGGCAACGAGCGCGTCCCGTCCCTACTTTGCGGCACGCCAGCAGTCCCCTAATCCGTGCGACAGCCCCCTGTCCCACACGTTGCAGCTACCGTTCCCATCACGGAGCTCCGCGCTCATTTCGTCTCGAATATCGCGCAAGGTGCTCTTGTTATGTCAACAGGTCGAACGTTGTACTGAGTATCCCTGAGATCAGCCCTTCAAAGCCACAGGTGGCTACTACTACTACTTCCGAATCCCAGAGACCATCAGCAAGGCTCGAACAGCAACATCAGAGGAAGACAGAGGTATCAGCTCAGCTTCATCTTCATCTTATTTGAGCATATAGCACAGCGCTACTTGACGACACCACACCGGTTGGCCTTCCCCGCTCATCAACGACACTTCTGTGAGCTCTCAGCGAAGTCCATCAACTCCGACACTCGTCGAGTTGAAGATGGCCGCGACAGCATCAGCTTTCCGCCCGGGCCGTAAGCAGAGCGTTAGTGGAGGATCGGTACCCTTCGGTGACCCGTCAGGGTCGGGAGCAACAGGGATGGCACCATCCCCTGTGCCAAGTCTTCCTCACGCCTTTGTAGGGAGTACCGGACCGCACAGCAGCATGGGAGGACTGAGCGTTCCAGGTAGACCTGCATTCGGAGGAGCGGGAGGACACAGCTCCAATAGTATGGACGGAGGCATCGGCTCGAGTCTGATGTCTGGACCAGGTGGCGCCGCTTTGATGAGCGGAGCACCGTTGGCCGCAAACACCATTGCGAACAAGCCTGCTGTGGCGGCTGGCAGTCTCTATCAAGCTTGTCTGGCTTTGAGAGATAGACTTTGGCTTGTAGAAGGCTTTGGCGAGTCGTTCTTGAGCGAATCTGTGGCAGCTGGGAATGCGACATCTAGCCCTCCACGGGATGGGGCTACAGCTCTCAGACCAGTGCAATCGACCGACGTAGTATCACAACTTTGGCAACTCTTCCGACTCGGTGCACCGCTCTGTGCTCTGTTCAACAGACTGGGCCCGAGAGCTCCGCTGACAATCAACCCCGGCGCAAATCCTAGCAATGCGAACGAATGCAAAAAGCAAGTAGCGAAGTTCATCATTGCGCTGCAGAATGAGCTTAGTTGGGATCCAGACGACTGTTTCACAGTCACTCAGCTCTACCTCAGCGATACGAATGGATTTGTCAAAGTGAGTCGCCTGGGTCTTTCGTTGGGTCAAGCTCGGCATGACAGTGTAAGGCACGCGAGACTGACCGCACACATCTTCGGCGCTTGAATAGGTCGTACGATGCATTTCCAAGCTTTTGGACGTCTTCGAGGCCAGGGGGCTCCTGGTGGAGTCTGCACATGCCCCTTCGTCGGCCCTTGACGATGTTACCAAGCCCAATGATGAGCGCGCTTGGATCGTCCGAGAGTTGCTTGACACTGAACGCAAGTACGTGCAGGATCTCGAGGTGATGCAAAACTACGCGCGGGCACTCGGCCAGAACGATATTCTGCCTCCAGACACCATTCACAACCTCTTCGGCAACCTCAATACGCTGGTAGATGTGAACCGTCGCTTCTTGATTTGTATTGAAGAGAATGCCAGAAGACCGCCGGACGAGCAGCATTTTGGACACGTCTTTCAGACCATGGTGTGTCCTCGAGACCGTTTTGCCGCACACATACATGCTCACACGCGCGACGTCCATCTCTGCAGGAACAAGAATTTTCCGTGTACGAACCTTTCTGTGCGAATTACGCGCAAGCTCTGGACATCATCAGCGCAGAGGCTCTCAATATCCAGGTGAGAAGCTCGCTCAGGTTATGCGACTTGAGCCCCCACGAGCCGCCTGGCTCACTCCCCACTCTGTTTGGCCTGTTTGGCTCTTCAGCGATTGAGAGCATTGCCAGCAGCAGAGGGATGCTATTTGGATCCTTCGTATGAGCTGCCGACGTTCTTGATCAAACCAGTCCAGCGCATCTGCAAGTATCCGTTGCTCCTCGAGCAATTGCAGAAGAAGACGTCACCCCAAGCACCCATTTACAAGGAACTGGTCGATGGCCTGCAGGTCATCAGGCGAATCACTGACAAGGTCAACGAGACCCGAAGGTTGCAGGAGAACATTCAGATTCTTCGAGAGCTGGAATTGAGAGTCGAGGACTGGAAAGGCCATTTGGTCAGCTCCTTCGGACCTCTGCTGCTATCGGACGTTTTTGTGGTCTCCAAGAGCGACACTGAGCGCGAGTACCATGTCTACTTGTTCGAAAGAATATTGCTGTGCTGCAAGGAAATCCTACCCAATCAGCCAAACAAGAAGAATTCGAAGAGCAACAGTCTCCTCAAGCAGAAGACGACCGCTGCACAGACGCCGCCCGGCAAAAAGCCCAAAACAACGCTGCAACTCAAAGGCCGCATCTTCATGGCTAACGTATCCGGGGCCAAAGCGCACTCCAAAGTTGCTTGTGAGTCAAGTGTGCCCACGTGCAGGCAGACATGATGCTAACCAATGTGTCTGGACGTGCTTGCAATAGCTGTATCTGGCCTCCCAGGAGGTTCACATGCCTTGCAGGTGTGGTGGAAAGGAGACGTTGGACACGAGTCCTTCAGCCTCAAGTGCAAGAACGAGGAGCAGCTCAAGCAGTGGCTCTCTGCGCTGAACAGGTGCATCGAGCTCGAGGCCGCCCGCAAAGCCGATCAGCTGAAGCGAGGCATCTTGTCACCCGCTCAAAATATGACTGGAACTGGAGCTGGTCTGAATGGCAGACGGTCCACAGCAGGTTCGACTGGACCTGCATCGCACTTTCCTCAGACTCCTCTGACTGAAGTGGGTACCGGATTCCCATTTGCGCGTGCTGATAGCCAGATGAGCTACCAGAGCAGAATGGACAGCGGCGAGGTAGACTACGATACGATCGAGGGCTTGCGAGACCATGCCAGCCCATCTGGCTTCGCAGGTGGCCGTTCCACGCCACTCGGAGGCCGCTATTCCACTCCGGCTGAGCACCGAGATCGGCAGATCTCTTTCACGTCTTCAGATGGCAGACCACGGGCTAGGACGGAGGACCAAGATTCGTCAGTCTTGACGCAGTGGCGCTCCCATTCACCGGCTGTTCCCTTGCCCGGTCGGCAGTCCACGTCCTCCAGCGGTAGCGCTGGAGCGAGCGTTGCAGCTGCAGCAGTGACTGCGTTGCAAGAGCGGGAGCAACAGCTTCGCAAAGCGTCAAGCAGCCGACAGCTTCGAGCGCCGGGCTACCCACATGCACAAGGTCCAGCACAGACAGGGTTCCACCGACCTGCAAGAGCTGCAGGGGATGTTGCTGCCCGACATGAAGCTGGAGATCTGGTGGAGCATCTTGATCACCTCACGATGCGAACAAGAGCTGATTCTACTGCACACGCAATGGAGAGTAGCAATGCGAATGGAGGCGGCGTTCATGGCAGAAGCAGGTCTGCGAGCAATCCCATGGCGTTCAGCGCACCAGGCGCTAACGAGCCACCTCCACCTGTGCCTCGCGCTCCATACCCGCCGCACCTGGTTAATGTGGGGCTGGCAGAGCCACAAGCGATCCGAGCGCCGAACCATTACATGAACGGCCAAGACAAGCGCATTAGCTCCTCCAGTATCTCTACCATGGACTCAGTGCACTCCATCGGATCTGTGCCAGGATCAACGGCTGCAAGCTCTCCGGTCACGCACGGACCTTCCAGCAATGGCTTGTCATCTTCGCGCTCGACTGCCAACTCCACACCTACTCAACACGCGCAAAATCAGCACTCAAACGCCGTTAAGCTCGTTGTTCACTACCGCGACGAAACGTTCGTAGTCGTGGTGCTGGCGACAACGAGCTTGTTGGGCCTCATGGACAAGCTCGCAAAGAAGATGCGCGACATTGATGGGCGCAAGGTTGATCCGCAAGCCATTCGTATACGCTACATCGATGATGAAGGCGATCGGGTCGCCATGCAGGCGGAAGACGACGTGCAGATGGCCTTTGACCAAGCTAGACACTCAGGGGGAGACGTGCAGCTGATTGTGACGGTCCAGGTCTAGGTCTCGCCCCCAGACCTTACACTTTGTGATTTGCACTTGGCGACACTTTCCCGGATCTCTCGGCAATACCCAAAATCTGGAGTGACGAGCGTTGGCGTCGGGTGTGCTCAAAGCTAGCAGTGGCACGCGTGCCTCCGGCTGAGACATGCGTCGAAGGTGAATGCACCGACGTCGGATGTTTGGTCAAGTTACAATTGTCACCTCTTTCTGTGGCCCTTCTCGTTCCCCTTTGTACTTCTATCACGTGTCTGCTCCGACTCTACATGCCCCTTTACCCTTTCAAGCCTTTTCAAACCAACAAGCTGCCAATGGTCGCACTTCCAGCATAGTCTCGGCAGCCGTCGCGACATCTCTATGTCTACTCGCGGCGGCGGGTGAAAGTCCCCACCTCGCTTTCTGGTCTGCCCAGCTAAGTCTCCTCACGTACCGCCAACGCAGCCCCACGCCTCGCCCATGTCTCATCCCGCCAATTGCAAGGCATTTGCATGACCATCTTCGAATGTTCGCAGTGCCACGCTTGCAGTCATGTTCGCAGGAAAGATGCATAGGTATGACGCGAAGCGCGTCTTTGGCGCGCGTGCTCGGTGTTGTAGGCATCTTGCTGTGCGACCATAGTCACGGCGCGTTTTTGCACAGGCAACAGCGAATAGGATTGGGAGCGTGTAGAAATGTGAAGGACCAAGACTCGGCAGCTTCATTGTTCTTTGAGTCTCCTTTTGTAGTCGGCAGGACTCTCGAGGCGATCGCCCAAGCTCCACATTCCCCGCTTTGCCGATCTGTTTGCACACAGGCGCGCAAGAGCGTGAGTGAAGCATCGAACAAAGTCAAAGATTGCTTCAAATCTCTGAGCCGCTGGCTGAGGAGGCAGCAATCAGTGAGACTCACTTTGCTTTCTTTTCGGCCTTTTCGAGCTGTCTAAGACCCCAAGAAGTCTCTTTGCCCTTCTTCTCTTTTGAAGCGCTGCGGAACAGTCTCTGCCACCATCGAGCATTGGCGTAGGCTGCTCCTGACTGCGTGTACACCGTGGCTAGACCCAGCTTGACCATTCGCAAGCTCACATTCGTCCGTCCAAAGATGTAAGGAAACCTCAAGACATAGGGCGTTGCGACCTGCATGCAGCGATGGTCAGTCATGGCTGGTCCAAATGCTGCTCCACTACCGGCTGGGAGGGACTTACCAAGCGCTTGTATTGATCGACGTGCGCAACCTGGATGGGTCGAGGGGCAAGTCAGGCTTTTGAAATTTCCGGCATCTGAATGGCAGCCGCGAGGAGCAGCAATTCGTGCCGAGCCTTTCACTCACCTCGCACCATACAGTCTTGCCCTCGACGAGCCTCTTCATTTCTTCTTTGGCCTCTTTCGCAAATGGTTGAGCTTCTTTGCCAAAATGACCGCTTTCAGGAGCATCCGCACCTGCCATCCTCACGCTTAGCGTCTGATCCGATTTGGGTGAGTGTGGAGCTGGTGCGAGCAAGCGAAATGGAAAAGGAGGCTGGTGATAGAGCCTGAAACCGTCTGCATCTCCGACGCTGTAGTCATTGCAACGAGGAGAAGAGTTTTGTGATCAATCTTGCAGCAAACGTGTGCGCGGCTGCTTTCGCGACCATGTCGATCCAGCATGCCGACATCTCAACTCCAAACCTCACCTGGTGCACCTTCCCACCAGCGTCCTTCTCCACTTTAGTGTGGCAGGCGTCAAATGCTCGGCATTCCTTATCCGTCTAAAGTACCTCCAGTACAGGGTTGTGCTTCCCAGCGTGGCAGCTACAGAGGTGACAGCTATAGCCGTAGGAGACTTGGTCAGATCACGAATGGTGACGGATGAGGTGGAGAGGATGGGTCGATCGATGGTGGAGTTGAGCGCCGCGAGCGCTTGGCTTGCGGAAGGGATGGAATCGAGCGAAGAGGCGATCAGCAGATCGTGGCCCTCCATCTGCAGCTGCCGAGGCTGCGCAGACGGTCCTCTGGGTCTCTCCATCCTGAAGGTCTGCTCCAAAGTCCTTTGAGGTCGTCCAGCTGGTGGCGCTCGCTCCTCTCCGCTGCACCCTTTCCCGTTTGAAGTGATGCCAGCAAAGGACCACCTCATCGGGGGTGTGTGAGACCCGTCAAGCAGCAGCTTCTTTGATTCGAGAATCGCTCCGACCTTCAAGAGCAATGTGACGCGTTGGGAGGCAGGATTGTGGTCACCTGGCTGAATGCTCCTGCCTGCAAGTTCCTGACAGTCACGAGTGGTGGGCCGAGGGTGCGGATGCTTGTAGCATGGGCCGTCTGGAAGTGATGTCGACTCGTGACTGAGGATGTCGGGTGGGTGTATGCGCCCATCAGCGTGCACGCGCGCACACTCATTCACATTCAGATTCACGATCGATATACACGTCCCCCCGCGCCCTCACGTCCTCCACATCGCGGCGCCGCGACAGGTGACTGGCGCAACTTGACTCGCTATTCACTTGTGACTCAAACTGATTCTTGATTCGCCAGATGCGTGACTGTGATTTCGCAGCGCAATTCAAGATTGATCTCCACTCGACTTGACTTCGAAAGCAAGTCAAGGATAGTGGACTCGTGATTTCAAACGTTGAGCACCCCGATCACTGACTGATCTGGCCATCCACCTTCGACCTTCGTTCGTCGCCACCCGCCACGGACACAATCACAGCCTCTACTCAACGCGTCCGAACCCGATTAGCGATCGGGCATCCAAAGATGCCGCTGGTCATCTCGGATCTGTCGTCTGTCTCCTCCACAATCGCACATCAGGCTCGAGGCAATGGCGCCCAGGGCGCAAACGGCGCCGGAGGAGCAGGTGTGAAGTCTTCTCAGATCACGCTGGAAACGCTTCGAGAGCTGGATCCGGCTACACTGAATGGAGAGATAGACAGGGTAGCCCACAGCATATCTCATCTGGAAAGATCAAATGCGCAGATTCGGCAATTGCTCGATCAGACCGGTCAGCAGGACGAAGGCACGGCAGAGGGAGACGATATGGACGAGGATGACAAGAGAGAGTTGCGAGTCGCAGTGGAAGAGAATGAGGAGACCATGTGAGTTTGCCTCTCACCTTCATACGCTGTCGACGACGCTCCTTCGATGTCAAAGGCGTACGCGTGACGCTCCAGCAAATGACTCGCGTCGGGTCATTCTTGCCAATTGACCCTTCATTCACTGATCCACTTCACTGCCAAATTCGCAGCTCCGACAAGAGACAGCTGATTGATCGCATGACTCGAGCTCTCGTCGACCAGGCTGGTACGCACGCCCTTCCAGCGGGCGCTTCGGCTGGTGCGAGCGCACAAGGGCAAGCTGCCGCAAGAAGGGCGTAGTGGGGGCAGGTCGAGGTGGCAGAGATTGTGTGCATGGCCTGGTGGGCAAACGCGAGGCAGACGACTCCTCAAAGCTCCACGTTTACTCGGCACCCGCAGGCCTGACTGGGACAGTGAGCCCGGCCCGACTTCTCATCAATCACACCACGTGGAGAATCGATCATGTTCATGGAATGATGCTCCGCACTGGAGCTGACGAAGACCTTCGCCGAAGCATTGCTTTTACATCACTACTGACGAGAACAAGAAGTCGCAAGCAGTCACACAATCACGAGGAGCCAGCCCAGTGCGATCCTCGACTACCTTCTTACCAGCCTTGACAATCGCCTTTGGCGCCCCATGCGTAATTGGCGGCTATAGAGCCAAAGGCCTCATGTCTATCCGACGACGCTTCACTCTTGACCGCCATACTCACGTCGCGGTTTTGTGATGGTGCGAGGAGGATGGGCGATGGTACCATCGCGAGTATAGCGCAGGTGCACGTTATGTGTGCAGCCCGATCTCATTCCTCATGCATGCTGCAATGACAATCACGATGAAGCCTGTGAGCACAATGCAAAGCATGTATTGCGTTTGGAAGATGAGTTGGAGCAGGGAACATGCAAGGAATGCCAAGTCCGCGCTAGCTAAAAGTTCCTCGTGTGTGGTACCGGTGCAGCATGTGCTTCTTGAGGCCTTTTCGCTCGAATGCGGGCGCTGACGATGCCAAATGCAGCTATAGCTACTCGCACTCGCACTCACACTGTAGGTATTGAAGCAGCAGCAGCAGCAGCTTGGAATGATTCACGATTCAGGATATGCTAGGCTGCTTGCACTCGCGCTGGTTGAAGCGATGTCAATCACATTCACGATTCAAGAATGGCGTGCTCTCCGCATGGCTCTGATGTCGCCGCCGCGTTCGCTTCAAACACAAGGCAACACGTTGACGAATTAGTTGATCGTGACGATGTTCAAATCGAGAATGTGAATTTTAAATGCATGCCGAGAAGACGCGCAAAGGTAGACTTTTGGGACTGGATCAGAAGAGCACACACGCAATCTTATTCAAGATTCGAGATTGTTGATTGTTGAATTGAACACATAAGTGAATCGCACTTTGACTGGTCGGCAAAATCAAATGCTAGATAGCTACCGGCAAGCGCAGCAGGAGACGCGCGTGAGCGAGGCAATCAGCACCAATCACGAATTCCTTTCCTCTGCGTTGTCCTCTAATTCACGTGATTTTTGATTTTGTGACTTCAGCTGACAGCCCGCGGAACGAGCGGCAAGAGATGTCCGCGCGAGGGCAGAGGGCTGCGCAGATGCATGCCTCTGACTGTGTGCAATGATCTTGAAGTTCGGACTTTGGAGCCCTTTTCTGACGCCATCATCAGATACGCAGCGCGGGTACCGTATACGTGTGCATGTACCTACCTACCGTACCTTACCAAGTCAGCTGTGCATGCGGTCAGCGTACCAACCAAAGCTACATTTTAGGCAGCACTTGCAGTGTCCGTTCTGACCTCTGACCCCTCGCCACATACCACACCTACACACCTCGCATCGCTCAGGTAACAGGAACAAGCTACTTACCTTCTGAACTTCAAGCTGCAGGCCCCACCACTGAGCTCTTTTCGCTCCGCACCAGGACAGCAAGTCGGCGCGAGCTAGCTGGAACGTGAGCAGTCCCGATCACGGACTTCGAATTGTTCTTGGCTAAGCTGCATTACGCATCGTCACGCCTTGCTCGACTGCACTGCCTCTTCTATATACAACTTCATTCACATTATCATACCCATCAGCGAGCCGCTGGCCAAGCCTTTTGAATGCGCCCTCAGCCGTGCCCATAGCGGCGTATAAGGAGAGGGCACCGTCTGGATTCGTGAATGCGGCACCACACATTCGTTGCCTTTTGCGTCCCAACCACCTACTGCTCTGTACCTTCAGCACACATCGCCTCTTGGTGCTTAGACGGCGAGCTGCGCTTCTCCCTCGCCACCATTCATCTGCCTTCTATCCGCCGTACATCTATTCCGCCACCCATCGCCCTCAGCAACGACAATGAGCTCTGACCTGTCACCTTCCGAACAGCAGGCGGGGTCCTCCAAGCTCAGCAGCACGTTTGGCGTGCGCCAGGATGAAGTCACAGCTACTTTCAAGGTGGGAGGCATGACATGCGGAGCATGCGTTGAGGTGAGTGTCGCGAAGCTGCACGTGTAGAGAGGGAATGGATCACAGTTCTCGCAGCCGGAGGCGCTCCAGGCGATCGACTACTGGCCTCGTGAGCACATTTCTGACTACTGCTTCCTATCTCCGTCCTGCATCACAGACGATAGAGCGCATGCTGCGACAGCAAGCAGGCATCTATTCCGTCTCGGTGGCTCTACTGGCTGAGCGAGCCGTCGTCGCGTACGATGCGAGCAAATGGACGCCGGCCAAGATCGCTGAAGAAATCGAAGACATCGGCTTCGAGGCATCGGCGTTGATCGAGATTGCAGAAGATACGGTTCAGCTACACATATACGGCATGACTTGTGCCAGCTGTACCTCGACGATCGAAAAGGCCCTGAGAAGTAGAGTAGGCGTGATCGACGCATCTGTCAGTCTCGCGTTGGAGACGGCTCAAATAGAGATCGACACACGGCAGGTTGGCCCCAGAGATCTGGTGGAGTTGGTGGAGGACTGTGGCTTCGACGCCACTCTCAGCGCTGCGACTAGCGACGACACTCAGTTGCAAAGTCTCGCCAGAGTCAAGGAGATAGCAGAGTGGCGACATGCTTTCTTCTTCTCCTTGTCCTTCGCCATACCAGTCTTCTTCATCAATATGCTGTTGCCCAGGTGGTCGTTCAGTCGATCAATACTCGTGTGGCAACCTCTACCCAACCTGTACCTGCAGGATTTGCTCAGTCTGGCCCTGACGGCTCCAGTGCAATTCGGCATTGGCAAGCGGTTCTACTTGGTTTCGTGGAAAGCCTTGAGGCACGGCTCAGCGACGATGGACGTTCTCATTGTCCTCGGCACCACAGCTTCGTTTGCATACAGCACGTTCAGCATGCTCTTCGGCCTGCTATGTGGCAGCGGAGCCGAGTGTCTCCGGCCGTCAACGTTTTTCGAGACTTCAACGATGCTCATCACATTCGTCTCGCTCGGAAGGTATCTGGAAAACGCGGCGAAGGGCAAGACCAGCGAAGCTCTATCTAAGCTCATCGGCCTGACACCAAGCACAGCGGTCATCTGGGAGGACAAGGAGGCAATGACGCGCGAACGTCGCATTGGCAGCGAGCTGATACAAAAAGGCGACTACGTCAAGGTTGTGCCAGGAGAGAAGATTGCCGCTGACGGCCTGGTCGTGCGCGGAGAGAGTACAGTAGACGAGAGCATGGTGACTGGGGAAGCCATGCCCGTCTCCAAGACTGTCAGAAGTAACGTCATTGGTGGCACTGTCAATGGTTTGGGCAGTCTAGACATCATCGTCACTCGTGCCGGCAAAGATGCTAGTCTTGCCCAGATCGTTCGATTGGTCTCGGAGGCGCAAGTTAGCAAAGCGCCCATTCAAGCATACGCAGATCGAGTTGCTGGCCTCTTTGTGCCCATGGTCATCGGTCTTGGCGGCATGACATTCATCTCCTGGATGGTCATCGCACATCTGCTTGGCACGCATCAGCTTCCCGACGTCTTTCAGCAAGAAGGCGCTACAAAATTCATGGTTTGCTTGAAGCTCTGTATTTCGGTCGTGGTCGTCGCTTGCCCGTGCGCTTTGGGTCTAAGCACGCCGACCGCCGTCATGGTCGGCACAGGCGTCGGCGCTCAGAATGGCATCCTCATCAAAGGCGGCGGCCCCTTAGAGGCCAGCTATACCATCAGCCAAGTTCTGTTCGACAAGACTGGCACCCTGACCGAAGGCAAGCTGTCCGTCTCCGCCCTGTGCTGGCCGAATGGCACCATAGAGAGCGCTGTCGCCAAGGAGCACCTCAAGCTGTTGCCAGTGCCTAGGGAGTTGGATGTCCCTGTGGTAGGGACCTTGTCGCGCCAGGGTGTTTTGGCCGCAGTCGCTGCCGCTGAGCGCAGAAGCGAGCACCCGCTTGCTCGTGCTGTTGCGGAGTATTGTGCGGATCAAGTTTCAGCACACGCGCGCAGCACCGAATCGCTTCCGCCCCAAGCTGAAGCGACATCTTTTGAGAGCGTCACAGGCGCAGGTGTCAAGTGCAGAGTTGTACTTGCAGGCATGAACGGCAACCCCGTCTCTACTCACATCGTCAAAATCGGCAAATTGGACTTTGTTGGCGCTGAAGGATCGACCGCTTTAGAAGCGCATCTAGATGCCTTCCGCCACGCCGAAGAGAGTTCCGGAAGAACAGTCATCTTTGCAGCCATCGACGGCTCACTCGCACTCGTCTTGTCTCTGGCCGACAAGCTCAAACCTAGCGCACGGCCCTGCATCGCTGCGCTGGCGCGAATGAATGTTCGGGTCGGGATGTTGACTGGCGACACGGAGACCACTGCTCTGGCCCTCGCAAAGCAGCTTGGCCTCTCTGCCGATGCTGTGCATGCCGGCCTGAGTCCCAATGGAAAGCGTAGCATCATCGCACGGCTTCGAAGCCAAGCTGAAGCAAGCAAGGCGCATACTGGTGGGATTGCAATGGTAGGTGATGGCATCAACGACTCTCCAGCCCTGGCTGCGGCGTCGGTAGGAATTGCTCTTTCGACTGGAAGCGAGATCGCCATGGAAGCCGCCGACGTCGTCTTGATGAGATCGGATCTTCGGGATGTCCCTGCAGCTCTGCACCTCGCGAGGCGAATTTTCTCTCAAATCAGACTCAACTTTTTGTGGGCCACGCTGTACAACATCGTTAGCATTCCCTTGGCCATGGGAATTTTCTTACCCTGGGGATGGCACCTTCATCCTATGGTGGCCGGCGCGGCGATGGCATGTAGCAGCGTCAGCGTCGTACTCAGCTCTCTCACCTTGCGTTTCTGGAAGAGGCCGCATTTCATCGGCACGGCTGCGGACGACGAAGATGATCTCACCTCTCCTGTCGATAAGCGCTGGCCCTCGAGCCCTGGTAGCCCATGGCCGCGCATCAGCACCTCCATTCCTCCTGGCGCATGGGAATTTGCGACCAGCCCAGTGCAGTACGTCTTTGCGCGCGTCAATCAGCTGAGGACTCGGCGAACCGATGGTGCTGGATACGAGCCGGTCGCTGTGGAGATGGCTTGAAAGTATCGTGTAGTCGTACAGCATGATTCCTCTCATTGATATATACCAACACCTTCATTCGCTGCCTTGTCTTGGCATTCAATACGCTCTCTCTTTGCATTAGTATTTTCTCTTTATGATCAATACAATGACTCGCTTTGATCTACGTCATCACTGCTGACCGAAGAGCTATCATCTTCCCCCGCTGCCTAATGTTAGTGGCGTGAGCTTTTTTCATGGCGCTGCTTTGAGTGTTCAGTTTGCCGCACAACAGAAGTGAGGCGCGCCTGCACGGCCCTTGAATCACGTGTGTCAAGATGAGCCGCGTTCTTCTGAAGCTGCGTTCAAGAATCACCATCATTCACCATTCGCGGTTGTGCATCTCCACGCCCGCTTGACAGCCCGCGTCTATCATGGCATCTGAGCTCCGACACCTTGCTGGCCCATTCTCGCTTTTTCGCAGCGTCTGCGATTCTATTGAGAGTCTACACCTCCATTGACTGCAACACACGCCACACTTTTCCTTGACATCCGGATTGCACTCCATCCCAGCGAGGTCCTGCGTTGGCCATCGTTGCCTTACCAAATGGCTTCCGCAGTGGAGAAGAAGCGGGAAAGACGGAGGCAGTCCTCGTCAGACGAACCAGACTCCGTCACGCCTGGGCACGCAGGGCAGCATGGAAAGAATGGAGATGAAGAGAACGCTCCAGAGGCGGCGGTGGCTCGCAAGAAGCGCAAGGTGTTGCAGCACGAAACGCTGTACCTCAGCAACCTGCCGAATGCCGAAAGGTATTACAAGTCTTTGATGCACAGGGATGTGGTCAACTTTGTCACCGTCACGCGCAACACCAACTTCCTCATCACGAGCTCGGTGGATGGACATGTGAAGTTTTGGAAGAAGCAGGAACAGGGAATCGAATTTGTCAAACACTACAGAGCTCACTTGGCACCCGTCGTGGCCGTGAGCGCCAGCTCGGATGGCAACCTTTTCGCCACGGCTGCGAGCGATGGGAGCGTCAAGGTGTTTGATGTGCAAAACTTCGGTGAGTCTGAGGCCAAAAGGAAGCACAGAAGGATGGGGAAAGGGAACTGATGCACGCCTGGCCGCGCCAAACGACTGTGCCCTTCCAGACCTCATCAACATGCTCCAGCTGCCGTACGTGCCGCGTGCCTGCGCTTGGGTTCACAAAGGAGGTCGAGCTGGCACATTGTTGGCAGTGTGAGTCAATGAAATAAGGCGCACTTGGCGCTTGAGGTGAAGCACAAGCTGACATGATCCTTCCGCTGGCTCACTGCAGAGCGGAGCAGGGGTCCAGCACTGTTCGATTTTACGACGGAAGAGGTGAAGGGACACCGTCAGCAGAGGCGACAGGCGTTCATCGTGCACCTGTACATCTCTTGGCTGTGAGTCTGCGTCTTTCTCCACACGAAAATATCGCCTTGGCTCATAGGGCACGTCCGTTGCGGTGAAACAGTACAATGAGCTGTACGATTGCATAGTATCCTCAGACACCTCTGGCATGGTCGAATACTGGAGCCCGAAGGAACCGTACTCGCTCCCCAAGCATTCGAATTTGTGGCAGTACAAGAGTCAAACAGACTTGTTCGACTTCAAAAAGGTGAGTGACCGTTACCGTGCTGCTCTTGCACGACTTGAGGATTCGCAGCTGACCTGGAGATGCATCTTGGCCCACAGTCCAAGTCTGTACCCGCGACTCTTACATTTTCGCTTGACTTTTCCCGCTTCATCACGCTCTCTCCGGCAGACCGCCAAGTGCGTCTATTCGACTTCGCAAGCGGCAAGCTGCTGCAGAAGTATGACGAGTCTTTGGCCGCTCAGCAAGAACGGCAAGCAAATGGGGACGGACCTGATAGATTGGACGATATGCAGTTTGGAAGGCGTTTGGCTTTGGAACGTGATATCGATGCTAGCTGTGCCGATGCCCTTGGCGATGCTGTCAAGGCTGCCAGTGGGGCGTGCACAGCTAGCGCAGCATTTGATGAAAGTGGCAACTTCTTGATATATCCCAGCATGTTGGGTATCAAAGGTGAGTGAAAGAGCGTTGCTGAACTACGATGCCGTCGAACACGAGTCTTATGTTACGTCACTCTCTTCGCAGTCGTCAACATCCTTAGCAACGATGTGGTCATGATCCTTGGCAAAGACGAAACGATGCGCTTCACCAATATCGCGCTTTTCCAGGGCATCGCAAAGCAAAAGGCGCCGAAGAGCATCGTGAGTTGCCATGGGCTGCGGTATCACGATCTTTAAAGCGCTCAAAACGTCGCTCTTCCTCTGCCTGCCTCCACACATTAGGCCCTGGCTGCTTCTGATAATCCACTTGCAAATGAGAAGGATGTCTTGGATCCCACACTTTTCTGCACGGCATTCAAGCGTGCTCGGTTCTACCTCTTCACACGAAACGAGCCGGAGAGGTGAGCAGACTGGATTTTTGATACCTCTCGACCTGAGTAGCCAGCTTATGCATTGATGCATGTCTGCTTTGCTGCACCACAGTGATCCTCGATCCCGAAGCGGAGCTGATCGAGACGTAATCAACGAGAAGCCGACGCGGGAAGAACAGACGATAGCGGCGGCCCAGCAAGGCAAAGCGTCACGCAGCAAGGTGGCCTCCACCGCCGTGCTGCACACAACGATGGGTGACATACATCTTCGTCTTTTTGACCAGCAGGTCGCCAAGACGGTGGAAAACTTTGTTGGCTTGGCTAGAAAAGGTTATTACGACGGCGTCATATTTCACAGGATCATCAAGAAGTTCATGCTGCAGACTGGCGATCCTCTGGGGGACGGAACCGGGGGAGAGAGCCTGTGGGGCAAGGAGTTTGAGGATCAATTTGTCAAGGAGCTGAGGCACGATAGGCCCTACACGCTGAGCATGGCCAACGCTGGGCCCAACACGAATGGTACGTCCGCAGGCCGGCGCTGGGACATTGCAGGCTGTGCGCGAGGCACTGACGCTGGTTTGCTACTGTGCGCACAGGGTCACAATTCTTCATCACTACCGTTCCTACTCCTTGGCTGGACAACAAGCACACCGTCTTTGGCAGATGTGTGGCAGGCTTGGACGTGATACACGCCATTGAGAATGTCAAGACGGACAAGAGCGACAAGCCTAGGGACGACATCAGTGAGTGCTTGATGTGCAATGTAGAGCCGCTCTTCTCCCGCTCTGAACTGAACACAGCTCATGTCGTGTCGGGGTGTAGAAATCGTCAACATTACCATCGGAACTTAGCATGCTGCATCGCAAACGACCAGTATTGCCTCGTCGTCACCCACATCACCTTGCTACATTTCGATCGCACGCATCTCGGACATGGCCGCTGAGAATCACTGCATACCATTCGCAAGGTCTGTGGACCTCTCGAATAGACAATAAGTATTTGAAGCGCATGTCTTTGGTGGCAAAAGGCACGCTGAGAAAGAGTATGCGTGTGAACGAGACAAGTACAAAAGATTCCTATTAAGGTATATGAAGCCAGAAGGGCGCCAAGGTGCAGCCTGGACACCGCTGGCCCTGTGAAGAAGATGCAGATAAGCGCTTTCGACTGTCCATTTGGAAGAAAAACAACGAGAGGTGCAGATGAAGCCTGAATCACAGCAAGAGTGCAGCTCCGAGGATGAAAGCGACGAGGTTGAATGCTAGCATGGGCACGATGCCCGCCTGCGAAAAGGCCGAGTTACCAAACAATGAACCTGTCGTCTGGTCCGTATCATAACCAGCACCACTGCGTCTCGCGCATTGCGTGCGTGTCAGCCCGATCGTGTGGTATTGTCGACAAGTCGCGCGGAATTGTGAACACTCACGTAGTCACTGCGCTGAAAGTCCTGCTGGAGGAGACGGCGGAGACGTTGTTGGCGCTGGCCACGCCGCCCAACAATGCGCTCCCCAATCCGCACAAGGACCTCATGTTGGTCACGATCTGAGGCGCGCCAGTCCCTTCCGGGTCTGTTCCCAACCACCAGCATTCTGCAGGGCGACATGGCGGAAAGCCGTCAATCGCAGTTCGGCACCGCCGCTAGTCTGTAAGCGGGAGCATGTGCGACTCACGGTTGGTGTTTTGGCTGACAGATCGAGGGATCGTGGGGTGACGCATCAGGGAAAGGCGGAAACGACGTTAGACACTTGGGCTTGTTTGCTTGCTTGTCCTTCGCAGCCATGAGTCAGGGAGCTCGTAGCATGGCAACAGCACCGCTGTGAAGTCTCAAGTACGTGATCAAGGAGCTGTTACTCACAAGCAGTCACTGCAGAGGCGCAAAAAAGAATCAAAGTCGGAAAAGGGTGTCAGCACAAGGCTTACATCGCTTGAAGGAGCTCACATCACGAGCGATTCACTGGACACGGCTTGAGTGTCTTCCCCTTCCCTCTTGCTTGCTTGCTTGCAAAACCTAGCCTGCGCCTATTCTGCACGCTGCCTACTCACACACACTGAGGATAGACGGCCTGGAAAGTGTCGGTGCAGGCGCATTTGATGACGGAAATGTAGTCCCATGGACTGTTGAAGATATTGGTAGAATTTTCAAAGACGGAGCTGGCCTGCATGCAGGAGCTCAGACTCGAATACTTTTCCTGACATTTCGGACAGCTCGGAATGTTTGCCGGAAAGGTTGGGGATGGCAGGGTGGAGAGCGGCACGGTTGGTTGATCCTGATTGGCTTGAGCTACGGGCGTTGGAGATCTCTTTTGCAGGTTAGGCTGCTGCTTCAGGTCGACCATGTCCAGCTCTGAGGTCCACCGCTTGTTGTCCAGCTGTAAAATGTATTGCAGCTCCTTCATGCCGCTGATTCTGCCGCTGCTCGGTGCCGAGCCACCCTCAGAGATCTCATCCACATTGGCAACTCTCCAAAAATCGTACAAATCGTCCGGGCTAAGACCAGCCTCGTCGTTGAGCTTTGCTGGGCGCGGTGCGTCGGTAGGAGCGGTGCGTGGAGAGGCAAAGGCGGTGGCTGTAGGTCTCACGAACGCTGAGCCCGGCGTGGGTCCGGACGAGTGACCTGGAATAGGTGCGGCGACAGCCGCTTGACCAGGCAGAGGTGCGGCATTGCTTTGGGATTGCAGCACAGCCATGCAGCTGGCTGCGAACAGTGTCGAGACGGTCAGACGCATACTGTTGTGCACAGAGGGAGCCGGACGGGCAGGTTGGGAATGCTGAGGTGTTCTCCTCGTACTTGGCGTGTACCCGTTTGCACGCGGATGCGGATGCTCCGATGCGCAGTGTCTCGTAATCGTGATAATTGTTTCGTTGGCGAAATTTCGTGATAGCGTGACAGTCGTGAGTGTGGAGTGGCGTGATGGGTCGTAAAGGACACTTCGACGGAGCTGAGTGCAGAGGTAAAGGGTGGGGAGGGTGGAGTTATGGTTATCCACTCGTGACTCACTGTGGAATAGACTAAGCAGTCACTGTACATATAGCGCGCACTGCTTTGCACGCGCGCGTGTGCTGCGAACGAGATCGGCGGGACGCGAGAGTGTCGCAGCGTCTCATTCCGCTCTCAGGGGTTGCGACGCCTCCGCTCTCGTACGAATCGTCAGAGGATAGTGACTCACGTGATGTTTATCCTTGGCGCGCTTTTTGGAATTTTCGAGGGGGAAATTTGAAGAGTCAAAGTGGGATCGTGAATCAAGTCTGTGAGTGACTGCACGATCAACCGCTCGCTGCTGCGTCTTGTAAGATCGACTCCTTGGCTGCGCTCACTTCCCACTCTCCAACTCGTGGTTCTTTGAGACTCGTGAAGACCGTACGCAGCTCGCATACACCCCACCATACAGCATCAACCGCTGTCCCGATCATCATGGCGAGCACCAAGGCAGCCTCGAAAGGCTCATCCGGGCGACCGAGCAAGGCGCTCCCAGCATCCAACGTCAAGACCGCATCATCAACTCCTCTCACCTCATCGCTTCCCGAAAAGTCTTCTGATCCGGACAAGCTTCTAGGCAGAGTGTCCCGCTCGCAATGTCTCAAGGCGATGGAAGCTTTGGAAAAGCAGAATCTCAAGTGGAAAAGCAGCAGTGCTTCCGGAGGCAAGAGCCAGCTGCCTCTGGAAGGAGGTTCCGCAGCGGATGAGGTGCTCTTCCTGCAGGTCAATGTCAAGCGGTTGAGCCCGACGAGAAAGGTCAAGCCTTACAGAATGTGAGTCGCAGCAGGTCAGGCATGCAAAATCTGAAGGATGCGCTGACCTTATCGCATCACACCTCATCCTCGTCGCAGTCCGCTGCCGCACTCTCCACATGCTCCCACCAGCGAAGTGCTACTCCTGGTCAAAGATCCACAACGAGCGACCAAAGACTTGCTCATCGCGAACAAAATCAAGAGCATCCACCGAGTAGTCGACGTTTCCAAGTTGAAGGGCAAGTTCTCTCCCTACGAGGCGCGAAGGCAGTTGATGAACAGCTACGACATCTTTTTGGCCGACGAGAGGATATTGAGAATGTTGCCCAAGCTGCTGGGCAAGAAGTGGTTGGAGAGCAAAAAGTAAGTTGTTGTCAGTGGGAAGACGTGTCCACTCTCTCATCGCACATGGTTGTATATTCGAGCGAGGAGCTTGGAAACACGACACCCGTGCTAACTCCCCCCGCGCGTGCTTCTGGCAGACAACCGCATCCTGTAGACATCACGCGGCCAGAGAACGGAAGACTGGACAAGGAGCTGAATGCGGTGCTCAACTCGACCCAATATGCCGCCAACAAGGGCTGTTGCGTGTAAGTCTTTCAAGCTCAATTCACCGCAACCATTCTGGTCTGACGCACAATCCTTGCGTCGTGCTGCATTCAGCTCGGTGCGGTTAGGTACATTTTCTCATCTCAGTGCTGAACAATTGGTCGATCAATTCAGCGCAGCTTTGCCAAAGATTGTTGGCAGAGTTGAAGGCGGTTGGGAGAATCTCAAGTCGCTCGAGGTCAAGACAGCCAAGAGCGTCTCGTTGCCTGTTTGGAATTGCGACTTGAAGGATCTATGGGTCGGCGCGAAGGAAGTTCCAGTCGATGAGGAGACTGCGGAAGAGAGCAATGAGGATGATGATGATGATGAAGAAGACGAGGAGGAGGAGGGTGAGGACTCTGGCGAGGATGATGCGGAAGAGGGGGAGGAAGAGGCTGTCGTTGCACCAGTCAAAGCAGCGAAGAAAGCGGCCGCTGCGCCCACAAAAGCCTCCGCTGCAAGCAAGGATGCGGTGGGAGCCAAATCTGCCAAACGGAAGGAGGAGGCTGACAGCTCGAAGAAGGAGCAGAGCAAGAAGAGGAGGAGCTCCTGAACATCGCTCGTCACTTGCGAAGAAGGATGAAAGCCTCCTCAAACGCAGCCGTGCTCGTCTTGTCGAAATGTCATTGCAAGCACTTGCTCACCCTGTACATATACATGACACTCAGTCGCCAAAGCGCACCACACATTGATCCTTACCCAGCTCGCATGCTCTGCAACACCTGCGGTGATTCGTGTCAGCTCAGCGTTCAGCGTTCAGCGCTCCACGTCAGGTCCACACCAGACACGCTGGTATCTATGCTATGTAACATTGTGCGAAATGAAGGCTTGCAAAGCGGGTGAAAGTGACAGTGCTGTTCGGATGCAGACTCGGTGGGAGGCAAATGCATATTCGGGGCCCCATCAGAACGCTGGTAAAAGAGGCTCGCATGAAGCTCGCACTTTCGAGACTGATCATGCTGCTCATCGAGGCGATGGATGCACCTCGCAATCGGCATCGCGATGAGTGCCAAGACGCACCAACGGCTGGTGAACTTGTTTGGTGGCTTAGCGTTGAGCAGGATGGCTTGGCATTCCTGTCCTCAACATGACTACGATCGCGACTGGTCGTCCGATACCGCGTCGGGCTGCCCGTCTTCACCTTCGTAGTGATCGTCACCATCAGGGCTAGCGGTGAGGTGCTGCATCATGACCTCGTAACTGGAAAAAGACGCACGCAAAGAGAGAAGTGGATCAGCGGCTGCACAGCAACGACTGGCGACGTCGTACTTGTGAGCACTTACGTCAAGATGGTCAGAGCAGAGCTGGGCACGGTCCGCACCAAGTTCACACCCATGCCTCTGTAGAATCCTCTAACACCTTCCTCCTTAGCAATGATTGCGCAAGCGTGCAAGACTCCCTTGTACTTTCCTCCATGACCTCTGTTGCCCATATTGGAGATGCGCCGCGCGTTGCCTAAATGCGCAGATGTGGCAGCGGTTCCCCCAGACCTTCCTCTAGGAGCAGAAATTAGCGTAGACAAGGTTCGCCGGGCCCCACCTGCATTTGCAGCTGCAGCGCTTTGCTGCACTTGCGATAGTGAAAGATGACTCGGCGCTGCGTGATTGCCTTCGCCGGCTGCAGCGGCGGCAGCGGCTGCCGCTGCCACTCTAGGCTGCATCTGTAGACGTGTTCTCAAGACCTCGTGCGGGTAGGTCAGGACGCTAGCGATCATCTTGGCTCCACTCGAGCACGTCAAGATGATGCTCGGTTGGAGCTCGTCCGTTTGCCAATGATTCCCTGAGTGTATGTGTGGGTCTACATTCAGCATGCTGGAATGCACTTGTTCGAGCTAGAGAGCCCGTTCCGACGTCTTACTCACGACTCCACGCCTTGAAGCTCTCATAGAGCGGAAATTGTACTGCGACATGACTGACCCCGAACAGGCTGGGCAACAGTCCAGCATAGAAGCCCCTGATCCCTTCGGTCTTCCAAATTTGTACGAAGGCATCGCCTGTATGTCTATATCGCCTCACGCCATCTGTGGAAGAGGATGACTGAAGCATGAAGCGAGTCTTGACGACCCAAAGAGGGGATGTGGCGCAAGTAGAGGCAGCGCCCGCCGTCATCGCACTGAGAATGTGGTTGAGAAAGTCGTCCTCGTGCTCTGAGCCCGAACAAGAGAAAGATGCGTCAGCAGTGCGGGCCTTCTCGATGCGCGAACCTCGCGTAAGACCACTTCAACCACGCACCTCCTTGCTTGCGACGACTCAGAAAGTCTTTGCAGCCATCATACACGGTGAAGTAGATCGCCCAAGTGGGCAAATATCCGAATATGGTGGGCCCAAGACCTCTGTAGAAGCCTCGCAATCCGTCCGTCTGCCATATCCTCCGAACGGTCGCTACCGGTTGATAGGCATTGCAACTATTGTCAGTATCATGAGAGCAGCCAAAACGGCGCGAGGGAGGAGAGTGGACTAATAGCCCTCTGCCGGCGCGAGAACATGGAGGCAGCCAATAATCTGGAGCATCGCTGCCATCGCCAGTCTCTGACCCTGAGTGCTAGCTTTACTCTTGGCATCCCACCTCTGTCTGCCGTTTTTTGGGCACTGCTGTAGCGGCAGTCATAGCTTCAAACAGGCGCTCAACTCACCGGACAGTCCTCTGTACCTCCTTTCCGCTGCTCTCTGCCTCTCCAATTCAGACTTGTTCCTCTCCTCTACCTGGAGTCGAAGCTCGCTGAGCTTCAGAGGGTGTGTCTGTGCGGCAGCATGAGGGCCACCGGTTCGGGTTGCCGCACTGCTGCCAGCACCATCGGAATTTCTAGATGCCGCGAGATCGAGCTCCGACTTTGCTTTGGAAGCGCCGGCATTAGCGCTCCTCGGATGAACGCCATGGGTTGCGACCCGTCCAGGGTTCTTGGGAATTGAAGGCTGTCCCGCGCCAGTGCTCGAGCTTGGAGACGAACCGGGTGTGGGGAGAGCACCTTGAGCCTGTAGACGAGTCTTGACCACATCCAACGGGCACGTGACGATGCTGGACACCAGACCTGCACAGGCACCTGCGATCGCTGAGGATTGGAGGACTGGCATTGCAATGGGGATGCACTTGGCAGCGCCCCGTGCGCTCTATGAGGGACCTGCTTAGAGGTCAACGCCCAAGTCTGAAGCTTCTCGATGACGACAAAACAGTGCCAGCAAGGGGAAAACGAGTGAGGAAGGGGGCCCTCTGCGGTTTGAAATCGCTCTAGTGGTGACGACTACTGGTGCTGCGATGGTGATGGGCAAGAAAGAGCGCCGCAGGGTCTGCCAAGGAGTGACCGTCCAGCAACGATAATGATATTGTTCGGTAGATGAAGAGTCGTTGCCTATGGAGAGCAGGGATTGAGGATCAGCCAAGAAGAGTGGGTGTGGAGCAAGGCAATCTTGTCAAGTCGTTGCAGCTGTTGCGTTCTGGATCTGACTGGTGTGCGTCTGTGTACACGATTGCCGTATGTATGCACCGTGACGGTGATCGAGTCGAGTCGAGTGATGAGTCGGGAGTCCAAGTGTCGTTCTGCTGTGCTGCTGACGCCGCGCTGGGCGCGCGCGTGCCTGCGTGATAGCCTGCCTATAGCTGATGCTGATCGAGCTCTCACGCGCCGGCGTCATCGATATGCGTTGCCGCACACGCGCCGATATGCAGGCAAATGCATCACGTGCACAAAGGCCAATATTCAGCAAGTTTAATCTAGAGTCTTTAATTGACGATCTTGAATTTCAAGTTGGATTTTCGTTGATTGACGGGTGTCCCTGTGTACGCATGAGTGTGGTAAGGCAATGCGCTAGCTGACGACTTTCTTTTCTTTAAGTCCCTCACCACCACCACCAGCGACTCGAGACATTGTCAAGGAAGCCTGTCGCAGTGATCAGTCTGCGGCAGTTACGGCGATCGTGCCGTCATGTCCACTCCAAGCCTTGTCCGGTCAGCAAGAGCACCGGGAGGGAGCGCTGCGACGTCGACCTCTTGGTGGAGGCAGACGCCGCGTCGGTTCGCAGCATTGCCACTTCAGCGATGCAGCTGCAAAGGTCAGCAACATCGGCGGATCGCGACCGAATCTACTCTTCCACCTCTCTTCGACCTCAATGACTCTCGTCCGGGTCCCCAGAAGGGAGATTTGGCCTACCTGGCCATGTCTGGAGGGGTGGATTCGTCCGTAGCTGCACTGTTGGCCATCCAGCAAGGGTTGCAGCCTTCGCCTTTGTTCATGCGCAACTGGAACGATCTCGACGAAGGCGAAGGATTTGAGCCTGGAGCAGGTGGCAAGGAGGGCTGCTCTTGGCTTGAAGATTGGAAGCGTGTGAAGCGGACTTGCGTCGCCCTCGGGCTCAAAGAGGAAGATGCTCAGCTAGTGCGTCACTATAAATCTGCACAACAGAGGTGGGCCTTCGGTCCAAGTATGTGCTAATGTTAGTACTTTCCTTGCATCCGACAGATCGACCTGTCAACGCAGTACTGGCTCAGCGTTTTTGCGCCCGCCTTGGAGGTGTGGCAACGGGGCGAGACGCCCAATCCGGACGTGGCGTGCAATCGCGAGATCAAATTCGGAGCGTTGCTGGATCGGCTACTGCGCGGGAGTGCCTCGCAATCTGCATCAGGCAGCTTTGCTGTTGGGGAGAAAGCAGTGTATGGACGCCGACCACGCAAGACTTGGCTCGTGACCGGACACTATGCGGGTCTGACGTACAGTCGGGATGGGTATTCAGCCGCTCTTCGAAGAGCTCGAGACAACACGAAGGACCAGTCCTACTTTCTCTCCTCTGTTTCACGAAGCGCGCTCTCGAAGGTGCATTTACCGCTGAGTCAGCTTGAAAAGACTCGGGTCAGGGAGATTGCTAGGAAGCACAGGCTGCCAGCTGCAGAACAAGAGGAGAGCATGGGGCTTTGCTTCGTGGGAACTAGACGAAAGCAACCTCGACCGGGAGACAACCATGAACTTGCAAGACGCATGGCGAGTCAAGTGCACAGTACCAAACTCCAAGAGCGCGCTTTCGCTTCCTTCATTTGTAAGCGTCTTGCGCCCAGGATGCAGCGTCTCGAAGACGCATCAGGCTGACAATGTGTGCCTCCGACAGCGTCTTACCTTACGCCCTCGCCCGGCCCAATCCTCTCACCGGATGGGACTCGACTCGGAAGTCACGCGGGGCTACACACGCTCACGATCGGTCAGCGCGCTCGTCTTCCCGGCGCAAAGAAGGCTTGGTTTGTCTGCTCGAAGAATGTCAAGACCAACTCCATCAGCGTCGTTGCTGGGCAAGAGCACCCGGCTCTGTGGGCCACTAGCGTCAACGTGGGAGCAATGACTTGGCACGCTTCTACGCAGCACAAGCAGGTTTCGGCTCAGATCCGATACAGGGCTGATGCAGTTCCGGCTAAAGTCATACACGACTCGAACCGCATCAGTGATCAGTCGTCGCCCTTTGGCTCCACTTGCAAGGTCTCTTTCGATCGACCGATTTTGGCCGTTGCTCCCGGTCAGGTGTGCGCCATGTACGATGGAGATGCAGTTGTTGGTTCCGGTATCATTCGCTCAGTCGAGACGTCTGAATCTGCTGCTGCAGCGTCCACCATGGCGAGACAAGACTTCCACGCCGATACCGCCCACGGAGCCAAGTTTTCCTCATCGTCTGCCTAGTCTCGGCTTGTACGATAGATGCATCTTGTAAAACAGCATGTAGAGCTCGTCGACTCAATGGTACCTTTCCCTCGGAGCATGCATGAAGGCTTCACTACGAAGGTAGTCCGCCCCCGCCTGGCTCGATTGCGTGGAGAGCCCTGGCGGAATAGCGAGACAATCAGCATGCTCAGATACCAGGAGTGGAAGATCTGCATCGCCTGCTTGTATCTCAAACGAGGTCACAGATGTGCGAGAGTATGAGCGACTGGCCGGACGGCCCAGGGCGGAGCAGACGCAGAGATGGGTCAATCGCACATCAAGATTCCGAGGCAAAGACTCTCTGCTATACTAACAGGCATACTCATGAAAACGAGCATCGTGATGGATTGAATCGCGGCAACGATCGAATATGTGAATCTTTATAAGAAGTGATGACTTTGTGTGTTCGTTGCTTTGTCTTTGCTATGCTGACATTCGATCTCGAAAAGATAAAAGAAGGACGGGAAAAGACTCATAAAACAAGGAGACGTAAGCAGCAAAGAGAGGAGAGTGCTGAGTGTCTGATAGTGACTTCTATCGATGCAGCGCAGTAGTATATAGAGGTGGAGAATATTGCCGAGTCAAGACTCGCCTCCAATTGATGCTCTCGCTTCGATTCGAGGGCGGGTAGGTGCAGTCAAGCAGGTAAGATTTCATGACACAGTTCGCATTGGAGCGGAGAAGCTATCCATGCGGTCAGGCGAGGGTTGGCGTCGTTGCCCCGCTAGCGGTTGCGCTAGGTGCTCTGGGAGTCGAAGGCGAGCCTAAAGATCCAGCATCTGTGCCCATGGTGGGGATTAGGGAGCCACCGCTAGGCACGAGCTCTGCATTCCAGCAGTACCTAGCAATCAGCTCGTCCATACTGCTAATTGAGGATGGTCGGAAAGCACCCTCTGACCCGCCTTCCGACGCAAGCGAAGACACGGAGCCTGGAGGCGATGAGTCGATGGCACTCTTCTTCGTCTGACCGCCCGCCAAGCTGGGCTGGCCGGCAATGTAGCGAGGGGCGCGATTGTCACGGGGAGCCGGGACCGTCAAGTCCCCTTCGTTGGACGATATGCTGGTGATCGAATCCGCTGGCGTAGCGAAGGAGGTTCCGACGTCGCTATAAGTCGGCGAAGAAGGTGAGGATGAGGGACTGCCAAAGTCATCCACGATCAGACCTTGACTTGAGCTTGACAGCTCACTGGTGTGCTCAGCTGCCTTGTCCAGGCGACCTTTATTGTACTCATCCACGTACGGGGGACTTGGAGTGCGAGTCGCCGCCGATCGAGCGGGTGGTTTGACACCATTGCCAAGCATGCCCACATCCTCGAAAAAGACTCGCCCAACACCACCAAGCGGAGACAAGCCAGGACTAGGCTTTGGGGAGCGCCTCCGGGGAAAGGTGTAGAACCTGTCGTCCCCCAGCGGCTCCTCATACATACTTGCCAATGGAGTAGGCGGGGAGGCACGCGTGGGCGATGGGGAAGCGGTCGAAATGAAGGGCTGATGCTCCACGTGATGCTCGAGTCCAGGGGAGATCATGCCAAATTTGTGCGCGAAGTCTGGAGAGTCTGCCGGGGTACTAGCGATGCTAACGCGGCCATTGGGAGAAGACACGTTTGCGACGAAGAAGTTGCCGGCGGAGCTATCAATAGAAGCTGCGAGGCGATGGCTAGACTGAGTTGGCGTCTCAGCACTGACTGGGCCAGCGGAGTGATAATCGCTGGGAGTCGGAGTGGGAGGACTTGGCTTGGCTGAGAAGTAATCGAGCGCGGAAGCCCGGTCGCGCTGCGCAGGACGACCGCCGATCTGCACATCGCGCAAGCTCTGGCCAAAGTCGTAACGACTCGTCCACATCGAAGGCGAGCTGCTGCGCTGCCCTGGTGATGCAGGAGGTGAGAATTTGCGCATGCTCGCATGGCGGGGGTTCGGGGTGGGCGAAGAAGCACCGTCTTTACCGCCGGCAACGCTTGCTGAGAACCGTTCTTCCTCCTCTTCGTCCGACTTGAGCCTGTCGAGCTCTCTACGAAGGTCTTCCATCGCGAAGCCACCCTTCGAAGTGCCAACACCTCTGCGTGCCAGCTCGAATACACGTGTCTTGTTCGTACTCTGCGGAACAGCAGACAAGGTTGAATTTCTGTTCTCAAGCCGCATGCGAGACCCAGGGTCGCTTGACATGGCGGGCACAATCGCAGGCGCAGATGGCACTGCCGCGGGTGTGCTGACCGGTGTCGAAGGAGCCATACGTTTGCGGAAGTCGAGCTGATAATTGAGTCCGTCATTATTGTCCCAGAACTCCTGACTGGTGACGGTGTAGCGGAGGCAGAGGTACATGCTCTTGGTCTCGTGAGACGCTGCACCGCGCGGCCAACTGAGGAGCTCATTGAGCTTAATGGAGAAACCGAATCGGTCTGCGGTCCCGCCCTTGATGCTCTCGGCATACTCTGCCGATACTTCGTTAACCGTAGCCCATTTGTCCAGCGTAAAGCGAACAGCCACCCATTTTTCAAACGACATGTTGCGCACCTGTACTGTCCCCTTCACTGACCTGAGGTCATCCGCCAAAAAGATGCGCTCCAAAAAGACTTCGCGATCGGTGGAGAGCCGGGTAGACGACGGAAAATTGGGCAGTCGCAGGATCAGCTGCTCCTCGGCCTCTGCAGGTTGTACAGGCATAGAGCTGAGATGCGTTCGGTCACCAAATTGCAGCTGACTTGGCTCTGGCGAGCTGTGGCCACGATGACGTCCGTATTGAACGTAGGGCATCGAGTCCCGCTCCTCCTCGGTCTCAGTTTCTGTGTGTTCTGGACTTCCATCACGAGAGACGGCGGTCGGTCGCTGTTTGAACTTGAACACCTTGACCCGCTCTAATTGAGGGTCGAAGTGCACTGCCTTGACGGTGGGTGTGGACGGCACACTTTGCGCACTTCTGTACTTCGAAGCAGGCAGTGACGGTGTGCTATCTGCCCTCGGTGCCAGGAACAGAGATGCACCTGGAGACTTTAAACTCGATTTGAGCGGGTTTCCATTCCTATCACGCGGTGCTTCGTCGGGGATACGAGAAGTAGTCGCTCCATGCAGATCGCGCAATGATGGACTTGGCAGATGGCTCAGATCCAGCTGGAGACCTGGCGACTCGATCTCTGGCGCCGCAGCCTTCATCGCCAAAGCTTTGCGGGAGGATGGATGCAGGGGCGCGCTCTTCGGAGGGTCGACAATTGTGCGAGCGCCTTTGCTTGGGAAAGCGAGCGCTTGCACCGGGGGTGTTCCATCTGAGACTGATCTCGGAGTTGGAGTTGATGAGGATGAGGATGAGGAGGCCGGCGAGGCCACCTCAGCTGTGAGTGGTGACCTCGCGGTACGCGATGGCAGGCTAGAGTAGGCTGGTGTGAGCCGCAATATTTTTGGACGCCGGTTCGCTTGTACTTGCCGCAGCCTCTCCAACGCGGCAGCGTCGGAAGCCGACGCCGAATTTGCGTTGGTGTCGCCGTTCGGTGATCGCTTCCGGGATGGCTGAGAGGCGTCCGAAGCGTTCGAGCGCTCATGACGGTCCAACGTTGCAATGCTTGAGGTGCTGGAAGTGTGGCTGAGGCTGCTCGCAACGCTTGAACTTTCGGAGAAGGTCCCAGTGGTTGATGCGATCGAGTCGGGCGAGGTGCTTGAATTTGACAGTCTTCTGGGGCTATTAGCACCAGACATCGGAGGGCTAGGAGAGGAGGTGCCACTGCGCGCGCGCCTTGGGAGAGCGTTGGAGGAGATGGCGGACGGTGATCGCGAGCTCGTGGCAACGGGAAAGTGCTCCGCATCGCTGGAGAAACTGCGAGAGTGGTGCCGTGGTCGAGGACTCGCTGTGGCAGACGTCATGCTGGTATTCACTTTGGGTGCTGATGATGATGCTGCTGCAGTCGCACCACTGCCTTTGTACGTCGGTCTGCCAAAAGAGGGTTGTAACAGGTGACCGTGTTCGAACACCGCCGTCGTGCCTGCTTGTAGCGTGGGTGACACCGAAATCATTCCCAAGCTTGGTGGGCAGCCAGATCGTGGATCATGAAGCGACCTCTACCTCGTTGTTCTATAGAGGCGCGCACCCACTCCCGATCAACGCGAGGGGGTGACTGGAGTGGTGTGAGAGTAGCAAAACAAGTCAGGTACGGGCGCAAGGACGAGGAGGTGTGGTTGGGGGCGCGAGCGAACGGGCGAGGGCGTTTGAGTTCCACCCTCCCAAAGCGGTCGGGCGGTCGGCGGTCGCGCGCCGAAATTGTTGCAGAGACGTGTGATGCGATCTCACCAGCACCTTGGTCCTCTGCGCTGCATGCGCAGGAGCAATCTCTGCAAGTGCCTGCGCTCGATCGTAAATGGCGGCGCTGCAAAGGCAGGCGCGCCCTGGGCAAGGTTGGCTGATGTCTGCAGCCAGCGGCAGCAGCTAGGCTATGGCAGCAACGAGCAAAGCCAAGCGAAGAGCGAGTGCGAGCGACGCGCGGGCGGGCGGCAGGCAGACAGTCTGCTGCAGCGGCGAGCGGCGCGAATGAACCGTTGCGGCAAGGCAAAGCGCCAGGTTTTTGGGGCAAACGAACCGCTAGTACGCGCCTGATGCCGATGTGCTTATGACTGCAGGAAACCGAGACAAGCTGATGCGCAAGGGTGAGGCGCCGCACGTCTACGCGCGCGCAAGCGATGAGGCGTATCAGCGCAGAAAGCGCGCCAAGATGCGAGGTGTTGAAGATCGCGATCGATGCATGCAAAGCTGCTGCTGCGATGCTGGCAGATGCAGCGCAACGAATCGCAAGCGTGCGCGTGCAGAGTGCTGTGCGCAGCTGCCGCTGTCAACCACGAATGCTGCTACAGTATAGCAGGCTGGCCAAGAGTAGTAGCGAGCGGTCAATAATTGGCCTGGCAGGATGCACAAGCCTGTTAGCGCTTATGTAGGAACTCCCCAGCAGTCGTGAGTACAGCAGATACGAACTTTTGGGTCAAAAAGCGTCAAAAGAACCTCGAAGGGGTAGAATCTTGCCTGCCGAGAGGTCGATGGGTGGAGGAAGAGTCAAGAGTGTGATGGGTCGCAAGAGATAAGCAGCACTGCTTGATGATGATCAGATGCTTGCTGAAGTGTGATCCCAGTGGCTGAGAATAGATGAAAGGATAAGCCAGGGGTCAGCGTACGAGCCACTTGGTGACTCGATCAGCAAGATGAGTGATCTCCTGGACGACGCCGATTCAGGTCAGGCGGCAGGCGGACTGCAATGAGTGAGTGAGCACGGGAACCCCCTCGCTTACTTGCTCTCAGCGCAGGAAGCAGCGACACATTGTGATTGCTAACCCTGTAGCTCGATGGGCTGGAGAATGATGTCGCAGAGGAGTGGTGGCTTTCACTTTATTACGAGCCGACACAGCCAAGAGCCCACGAACGCCTCATTGCGGCTTCGGAATGGGCCTTTCGCGCGTCTCATGGTGACTCACCCGAAATGATATATAGCGGCTCGTGCTTGCTTCTCCGAACGGACTGTGGTCGGGTGATGTTGCGCCAGTGCGGCGGCCGGAACTGTCGAAAAGGACCCTTCTGATAGGTGAGTGATGATCGAGGGGGCTCACCTCGGTAGACCGTACGATGATGCAAAGGGAGTAGCTATATAGATACCCAATGGGGCGTGGGCGCGAGCAAGGCTGTGTGGCAGGGATAGCGAGACCCTTGTCTCGGCTAGAGAAGCCGAGGACAACGTGAGTCAATGCCGCGTGCGGCTGAATGGAAGGTGGCAGAGGCCAGGTGGGCGGATGATGATGGTGTGGAGAAACGTGAGAAGTCTGAATTGTGAGTGCTTGATCTCACGTGTGAGCGTGATCATCACTCGTCACAGGCGATACGCTCGAACGTCTAGATCCAGACAAGAGCAGAAGAAACTCTTTTGTGTTCGTCTCCTAAGCTGTCAATCGTGAGTCTGACATCGAGACGGCAGCAGCCTGGGAACGGTGGGTACGTGAGCCGGTACCGCTGCTTCAGGCTCGCGCAACACCTCGCATTGCATCTAGGCACAAGCTACAGCGGCACAATTGACATTTGACTCTCACTCGTGATTCTGAGTATAATCTGTTGCACAGCTCGTCGATCCTGAGCCTGATTCAGATCGCGACGCGAGCTTTGAGCTTATACGATGGTGTCGATGCCGCGCTGCGCTGCGCTACACAGAGCTCACCATGTACGGTACCGCACTCGGTCCAAGCTCTCACCTGGCCAGCACGAGAGCCGCCAAGAGCCGGCGGTGATGTGAACACAGCTTCAGGTGGGCGATGCATGCATGCAGGGCTCCATATAGTGGCGGGACCATCATGCAGCTACATGGGCAGCTGCATGACATTCAGGTTCCTGCAACATCATCCTCTCCTGCTGCTGCTGCTGCTGCTGCTGCTGCTGCTGC